AACTTCTCTATACGGTATGTATTTCATTTTGTCGTTCTCGTGTTGTGTCTGAGGCTTCATTACAGTGGTGAGATTTACGTTACGGTCTGATGGCGTCGCAACTGGGTATATTATCAAGTGCTTGAACCAATCTAATACAGTAGTAGCATACTTGCGTTGGTGGATAAAATCGTTGTTCTGGCTTCGCGGTTGCCCTCGATGGACCAGCCGAGGATGTACTTCACCTCCCCTAAATCTGTCATGGTGAATATTTCCTGCAGGGCAGATTTGTTACGGCATACGAGGTTGACGGAAGGTGCAATGATAAGCAAGTCATCAACGTAAACTGCAACATAGCACACATGGCCGTCAATGGTTGTCGTAAAGACACATCGGTCTTTGGTGAGTTTGTGAAATCCAAGGCTTTCAAAAAATGCCGACAGAGTTTGGTACCAGATGCGGGGTGCTTGTTTCAAGCCGTAGAGGCTTTAAGTAGCTTACACACCAGATGCTCTTTGCCCGGAGTGATGAGCCTTCAGGATGTTTCATATAGATTTCTTCTTCCAAAGAGTCATTGAGAAAAGCAGTCTTTACATCCATCTGGTGCACCTCAAAGTCAAGAAGGAAGACAATGTTTAACAATAACCGAAGCACCTCCATGCGAATGACTGGCACAAATATTTCGTTGTAGTCAACATCGTATTGTTGTAGAAAGTCTTTGATAACTAGCCGTGCATTAAAACGGTCAATTTCACCAGATCCAGTGTATTTGACAGCAAATACTCACCGATTTTGGAGCACCCTTCGATATTTAGGTGGGGCGACCAGTATCCACGTCTCATTCGTCATTAGTGACTTGTATTCATCTTCAGCAGCAGTACGCCATTGCGTAGAATAAGACGAGCTCATTGCTGCTGCGTAGGAGGGGGTTCAGTCACATGGTGTATTGCTAGAATGCTGAGGATCACTGTGATGCGGGTTTCTGGTTCGTGGACATCGTCAGGCCAATCAAGGTCTCCGAAGATGAATATCTTCATCGTATTGAGGACGTTTCGATGAGCTAGTAGGAGGTTGTGAAGACGTCTCCGTTACAAAAAAAAGTAGGTATAAACCCTCGTTCGAGTGCCTCCCTAAGATATGGAAGTTCTTCCTGGGGGAGTAGCAG